TGATCTTCCTTAGTAAGTGTTCCAGGTCTGTGAAGTTTTCTGCTGGTACTATGGTGGCATCTGCATAGATTGTTGATATTCCTTCCTCTTATTTTCACTCCTCCTCCTTCTGCATTCAAGCCTGTTTTTCTTATAATATGTTCTGCATACAAGTTGAACAGATAGGGTGAAAGTATGCAACCTTGTCTGACTCCTTTGCCAATTGGGAACCATTCTGTTTCTCCATGTTCTATTTTGTTCTGATGTAGCATTTTCCATTTTTTCAGCTGCTCTTCTCCTCTAACCACAATCCAGTAATTTCCTGTGTTACAGGTAGGATGCTATGAGTAACCTCCAACAAGCAAAGAATGGCTTTTACCATCACAGAATGCATGTTACAAGATTGCATAGGATGTAGGATGAAAGCTGGCAGTCAGAGAAAGGACATTCTCTGATGACCCCTGTGCCTCAGGGAATCATTGGCAGCATAAGGCCCACACAAGCAAGTTTTTTCCCCCCAAAGTAGTAGAAGAGATGTTGACTGTGCAATGCAGATGCAGGAGTGATCCATTTATCTTTCAAGCAGTCCCCAGGCTGCTAAAATATGGGGGTGGGGTGGGGGGAGGAAGTGCTAAGTAATCATGTTTTTTCTATACTGATTATTTGTGCAAACATACCAGTGATAAATAGTTATATATTGGCTAGAGTTGTGCTTGCATGTGATCTGAGGTAGTTTATCCAGTCTCACATGGACAGTCTTGTTGATTCACAGCAGACATATACAAACAGCTTGTGTTCAACAGATCATTTCCAGAAATTTGTTGTACAGAATTTCAGCATTTAAGTGGCAATGTGAAGCCAAGAGGCAACAGGGATTTTTCAAAATCATATAGTATCAGGCTTTATTTTATTTTTAAATGTGTAAATGAAGCATCATCAATTGAACATTTACAGAGAGAAAAAGATTTTTTTAAATATATTGTGTACTATGGGGCTCAGGAAAAGCAAGTAGGTATTTGAATCATAAGTCCCCATATTGCAGGTTGTTGGAAGGTAGACTGGGATGAACTAATAGACCTGTAGCTAATTAGCATCACCATAAATCAAACAGCTTGAAGGCACACAACAAGAACAGATCAGATTTTTTTCAATGCCAAGTGGTTTAAAGGAACTGTCCAGAGTACTAAACCAATTTAAGGGGAAAGCTTCAGCATCTTCATTAGCTCCTTTAAAGTTTAGGCTAAAATCTGGAGCAGATTCACCACCTCCCTGACTCTGGAACCATCAGTTGCTTCTGTTTGGTGGGTGGAATCCAGAGCATCATCTTACACCTACTGAGGGATGCTTTCACCATGTGATTATATTAATCCATCTTAATCCTCCTTCAAAGTAATTTGTTAGCATAAACCAGGGGTCAGCAATGTTAACCTACCTGGTCCCCAGATCTTCCCGCGGGCCGGGGGGGGAAATGGTGGTGCACGTGCTCACGCGCATGTGTGCTCGCCCCCCCCGCCGCTGCACGCGGTGTGGCCACCATTTTGTTTGCCAAAATGGCAGCTGCAACTCATTTGTGCATGTGCAGGAGTACTGCACATGCACAAATGAGTCGCAGCCACCATTTTGGCAAACAAAATGGCAGCTGTGACGCACATGGCAGCACGGCAGCGGGGGAGCGCGACGGTGGCAGCGGGGGTTGGTTGCGGGGGTCAGCAGGGGGCGGTCGGCAGGGGCCAGTGAGCCAGGTGTGGCCCACGGGCCATAGGTTGCCAACCCCTGGCGTAAATGCTAAAGAAGATGCTGAACCTTTCCCCTTAAATTGGTCAGAACCATGGACAGCTCTTTTAAATCACTTAGCACTGAAAACTTTCCGACCTGTTGATGCATGGTAAGGGGTACTATGAAAGATCTAGCCTAGATCCTAAAGAGTAAAGATGTACAGCTAAGCACGGAAGTCATAATTGTTTATGTGTATTCAATTGATATGTTTATTTAATATATTTTT